TTATTTATGTTTTATGAAATCTGGGGCTCAACACAGCTGAGACTACAAACCAAGTCATTTTCCTATGCTTCCTGGACTTTGGGCATTCTCCATAAACTTCTAGTACCACATCTCCATACTTACAGAATGAAGGAAGAATTTGGTTTTCAGATGACTCCACCAATAAAAAGGAGCTCAGCACTTTGGAAGAAACAGTGGCAGCTGCCATGATGATTGATTATGGGCAAAACCCAGCTTCTATAGGCCCAGCCCTGCCTACTTGTCCCTAAACCTAGAGCTGCTGGAGAAAGTGCCAGATTCTGTGGCCTCATCCCAACCTATGAGCATCTTCAGTGTATCATAGACCATAAGCTCATACAAAACAGGGTAAGAGCAGAGAAAACTTCTGGTAAGGCTGGGTTGTCATAACACTTCATCTGACATGCTAGCTCATGGCATCAGGGAAATCACCCCCTTTCTGAGCTTCATTTTTTCTATTAAATGAAGCATATTACTATCATCAGGCACAGTGATACATACCTGTAATCAAAAAAGTATCAAGATTTGAGGGTATCCTAGGCTACAGGGCAAGTCTAAGGCTCTACAGCCTAAGACTCTGACTTAAAATACAAACAAAAAGCATGTCATTTAGGTTTGTTGCATACTACATCTTATGTGGTCACTCAATACATGAAACACATATATAGAATTTCTCCAGTTTTGGACCCATGACAATGGTACCAGGACCTATCCCAGGGGTATGAACCGACTTTTTGAATCAGGGTGAGATACCTTGCTCAGCCTTGATACAGAGTGGAAGGGTCCTGCCTCAACTTGGTATACCAGACTTTGTTGACACCCCCAAGGAAGGCTTTACCCCCTCTGAGATGTATATGGGGGGATGGGAAGAGTGGGAAGCAGGGTAGGGGTGCAAGGGAGGGAGGGGAACTGGAGTTGATATGTAAAACAAAAAATAATTTTTAATTAAAATAAATAATTTTCCCAGTTAAAGAAAAGGCCTATAACCTTTCCACCCAGAGTTCCCACCAGACTCCTGACCCTCCCCAGGTGATCCCTGACACTCCCAGGTAGCATAGTTTGGAAACTTGTGAAATAGACAAGTTCTAAGATAGTTCATACTGACAGTCCAGGAATCCTGTGTTTTATTATTCCCCATGATTTTACATTGTAAGATGAAATGCTTTAACACATAGGAAGATTCCTCTTTGTATCTAGCATCCTGAAATGGAGCCAAAACTTGAGCAGATTGTGGATCAATTAGGCTAAGAAAGAAGAACACCCACTAACACAGACTTCAAAGTACTAAAGATTACAATTTAAAAGATGGCAGACTCTCTTTACTGACCATACTTGAGTGAGGTGGCTTTGGCATCCTTTTCCTGATGGGCTCATGCTTTGGGAAACAAAATGAAAAAAGAAATCCCCTGAGTCTATTTAAGATTTGAGATTCTTTTTCTTATACTCAGACTTTGAATACAAAGAGTTAAATTAACCATGTGATGCCAGCACTGGAGCACTTTAATTTTATTTTCCCCTTTGTGTTCTTGCTCACCTATGAACTGGATTCTATTACTCCCCAATTCTAGTGTGTTTAATGTTCATGGGTGTGCAGGGACATATGTTATTGTGCTTCACTTTAATTTACATAAAGCATGGTTATGCTGTGAGTGTCATTCATCTTCTTATTCTTTTCACCCAGAATGTGTGTTTCTTCTTAAAATCCATCAGTGTTTTTCTGGAAAATTATAGTCCATTGTTGAAAAATAGCTCCATGATGTGCTTCTGTCAGGCTTATCATTCCAGTAATAGACACCCAAACTGCCTCAGACACATAATGGCACAAAAACAATCCAATTTGTTAGCTTCCCTATGGCTGCATCTCTCTGGAGAATACATCTAGGGGAACTTCTGGGTCATGAAACATTGAGAAACCACTTATTCAGATGGAATACATGAGTCCAAACATATCCACATCCCTATCAGCCTGTGTCTTCATCCTCTATACTAGCATTTACTAAACTAACTAATCTAAAAGAAAATATTCAAATAAAAAATCTGAAAAAAGAAAGAAAATATTGCTTATTTTAGTTCACCTAAATTACCATTGAATTTGAGCATCCATTCATATACTTTGGCTTTCTTGCTAAACCTTTTAGCTTTCTTGCACATTTTGTATTGGTGTTCTTATATGTTTCTTGCAGAAGGAAAGGTGATCATTGAGTTTTCTGGATATTAGCACCTCATCTGTTTAGCACTGTAAGCATCATCTAGTCTTTGCTGTCACCATTATGTTGTAAACAACTTAGTTTTTCCTTTCAGGTTGTTTTCACCACTGGGCATATTATCTAAGTTCTTCCCCTTCTAATTCATAGGTTCACCTATATTTCACTTTCTATGAGTTCCATAAAGTCACACATTACATGCAAATCAAAAATAAATGCATTTGAGTTCCAACTCTATTATAATTTGAATTCCATTTCTTCTTGATATGGTAAACTAGCTTTTTAGCACACCAAAACATGCTCTCTCCCACTGGCTTCTTAGGACCATCATTTTCTGTGTTAAGTTCTTAGATAAGTGTCAATCTTGTGTTGGACAGTGGTACACTGAGGTCCTGGCTAGTGTTTGGGGATGTTTAAGTCAGAGAATGTAGCTTCTTTTTAATTATTTCTGTCTCCTTGAACATTACTATGAAACAAAACTAAGCAAAAAAAATAATAAACAAATATGGAGCTGGCCAATGACTTAGTTCAGATCGTTGGCTGTTCCTGTCGGGCACCCAAGTTCAATTCCCAGCACCTACATGGTAGCTTATAACTATCTGAAGCTCCATCTAGGGCTAAGGCTTTGTGAAATTTCCCCTATCCATGTTGGTATGCCAGCTGGTGTGGTCATTATGCAGGCCTTATTTAGGTAGCAATATTCATAGGTCAACATTCCTACCATATAAAGAATACTGTCTCAAAGCAGGCACTCCAATCCTCTGGATCTTGCAATCTTTCTGCCCCATCTTCAGAGATGTTCCCTGGGCCTGAGGTATAGGAGGCTGTGTATGAATTGAGACTCAGTCACTTATTCTCTTCAACTTGACCAGTGGTGGGCCTCTGTAGTAGTTTTCACCTGATACAAAGAGGCTTCTTTGATGAGGGTAAGAGCCACACTTACCTGCAAGTGTGTCTAAGGTTAGTAGCTAACATCTGTTGAACTGGACTTAAGGACTCAGTATGAGGAATTCATGCCAGGCACTACAAACCTAGCCAACTACCCATGGCTGGAGAGTCGTAGACCTTGGCAGTAAAACTGCTTCCACCTTCCTAAATCAACACAGCTTCCAAGTGTATGCTCAGCTACATTTTATCTAGCATTTTCTATTAGTCTATTGTCTGTTCTTGCACCAAAACACACTATTTCATGTTATTAAGGTCTTCGTTAGTCTTACTTTCCAAAATGACAAGTTTTTTCTGTTTAATCTTTGTTATTGTTGCTCAGCTTTTTTTAATTGCTGGCATACAACATATTTTGGTCAAATCTGCTCCTCTCTTCCTCCCCTCCAATTCTTTCCCTATTCCTATTTCTTAACACTATTTCCCTCCCAATCACATATTTGAAAACTCTTGATTTCTACATTTTTAATTGTTAATACATACTGTCTTTTCTCTTTTACTTTTGTTTTTCTGTTTTATTTGGTTTGTGGGGGTTCTTTCTTCATTCGGGATTTGAACCCAGAGATTCGCACATACTATTCACACACACAAGTACTCTATTATGGAGCTACATTCTCAGCCCATTTTAACTTCTTATTGGGATACAAAGTCTCACTAAGCTGCCTGGGCTAACCTGGCAATTAAGATTGCCTCACCCCTGGTGAGTAGCTGGGGTTACAGGTAGGCATTTATATACCCAGTCCTCATTTTTATTTCATCAATACTTAGATTATTATGGGATATTTTATGCAAAATTAATTAAGGTGTTTGCTCATGTCTGCTTTCTATCTGTTTTTATGCCATTCTCCTATAATCTGCAAGGACCTTCTTACCCTGGGAGTTTTCTCTAAGCCTGTGAAGCAGACCTGTGTCTAAGAATGTTTCTGAGGTTTGTATGCTCTCAGACTCAACTTGCAAGTCCAGAGTTTTAAAAATCTAGCTTTGAGGTCATTTTTCTTTCTCCTTGGTGGCAATGCTTCAGCCAGTCTCCACATCCACACCTTTCCGCACAGACATAATTCCCGTAGCTAGCCCTGTGTTTGCTCTTTTCTCTGCATCTTTCCTCTTTATCTAAACTTGACACCATCCACTTTAGAGTTCAGGACAAAATCTGTGTGGAACACCAAGCACAATATTAAGTAAACAGAGTCCTGTGAGAAATAGATCTTCACCTTTCCAACCACCCTAGACAGTTAACACACTGCTTGCCATGTGAAACTTCCAGGGCAAGTCACTCTTAGACTAAACTTTTGTCCCACATTTAAACTACCAAGTGAATTACAAAAGTGTTTTTTTTCAAGGAGGGTTTGTCCCAGAAACACATCCCTACAATGTATATGGGACTACTACAAGGAAATCGTGGGATGCCTACTGTTCCTTACAAGGGAACGGGAAACCCTGGGCAGAAGCTTTAGGTAGAAACTAATGCTGCACAGAGAAGGAAGAACTGGAATAAGACAGGATAAAGTGAGCTTTCCATATCAAGGGGTGGAAAATTGTTGTGAATGTGTTGAAGACTCAAGCACTGAATCATAAAGGGAAATAAATGGGCAGCTTTTTAAAATAATAATTTAAAAAAGACAGAGCAAAGAGATGTGTCCTCAATACACCTTTGGAAATTGAATAAAATGACTATTTTCTGCACACCTTCTCTATGATTAAAATAAAACACAGTTATGAATTTTGTCTTGTGAACAAAGAACAAGAGCTGAAGCACTTCATTTGAGTTTGCAAAAACAGTTATGAAATTAGAAGTGAATCCAAACTATCCCAACACTGGTTCTGTGAAGTGATATTATGACAGTATGGCATCAATACAAGAAGCCTCCTTATACAACGCTTGAACAGGAATACCTCCTAAGGTAACCCCTCCATCAAACCAGAGACTCAAAGCCAAAACACACATCTAACATTCCTTGTATATTTTTTTGCTTTCAGGGCAGCAATACTCAGGGAAAACCAGAGCCACATGACAGAATTCCTTCTTCTGGGACTGACCAGTGACCCCAAACAACAGGTATGGCTTTTTGCTGGCTTTCTTGCCATGTACCTGGCCAATGTGATTGGCAACTCAGTCATCATTGCAGCCATCCGGGGAGATACCCACCTACATACTCCCATGTACTTCTTCCTCTCCAACCTATCCCTGGTGGACATCTGCTTTACCACTGTCATTGTGCCACAAATGCTAGTAAACTTGCTAACTCAGAGAAAGACGATCCTCTTTACCCAGTGCCTCGCTCAAATGTACTTCTTTGTGGCCTTTGGTATTACAGACAGTTTCCTCTTGGCTGCAATGGCCATTGACCGTTATGTTGCCATCTGCAATCCACTTCATTACACCACAACCATGAGTCCCAGGCGCTGTCGCTTGCTAGTGATGGTATCCTGGGCAGTGTCCCATCTTCACTCACTCACCCATACGATTCTTATGGGCCGCCTTTCTTTCTGTGGAGCCAATGTTATCCATCATTTCTTTTGTGACGTGCAGCCACTGCTGACACTCTCCTGCTCTGACACCTCTATCAATGAGCTTTTGGCCTTCACAGAGGGCTCTATCGTGATCATGAGCCCTTTCATCTTTATTGTCATCTCTTACGCCTATATCACTCGGTCTGTTCTGAGGGTCCCCTCAGTGGGGGGAAGGTACAAAGCATTCTCTACCTGTGGGTCTCACTTCACAGTTGTGACACTATTCTATGGAACCATAATATCTGTGTACATTCGCCCCTCATCCACCTACTCGGTGACAAAAGACCGAGTGGTCACTGTCATCTACACAGTAGTTACCCCCATGTTGAATCCTTTCATATACAGTCTTAGGAACAAAGACATGAAACAGGCCTTGAAAAAACTGACTAGAAGAACATAGAATGTGCATATTTCACTACCTATAGAAATTAAATCAACAGTTCAACAACATGTTGCTGTGTTTGTGATATGTCTGATTCTAGACCAGGACAGAATATTAGAACATTGCAAAGGTACCAAGGCAGGTTCATTCCAGAGATTCATGGGGTTATTTTGAAGGACTACTTAAAGCTTATGGTGCCACACCAGCCAAACCATTCCTGGTACTTTGTAGCACTACAAGATTCTATCTTATCCCAGTCCTCTTTCCTTCCCTGTTTTCTTCCATAGATCTCAAACTGAGTCTGAAAACTTTCACTCACCCACTGCCCAACAAATCTCTTACATGTTCTAGTGGTTCATTTCTGTGCATTAATTTGACTGTGGTAAGGGATAATAACCATACAATTGGTAAAAATAAGACTACTTCTATAAAAGATTATTATTTTAAAAATAAATAAATAAACAAATAAAAAGAAGGCCGGGTGGTGATGCTCACCTTTAATCTCATACTCAGGAAGTAGAGGCAGGAGGATCTCTATGAGTTCAAGGCCAGCCTGGTCTACAGAGTGAGTTCCAGGACAGGCTCCAAAGCTACACTGAGAAACCCTGTCTCAAAAAACCAAAATAAAATAAAAGATAATTATTGCATCCATGGAGTGAGTGAAAAAGATCACCTTCCTCCTCATGGTGGGCGTCATCCAATCCATCAAGGACCCACCGAACCATCCATATGGGTGAGTGTCATCCAGTCCATCATGGATCCACAAAACAAAAAGACAGAGAAACAGTTAACGCACTTTCTTCCTCATCTAAGGCATCCATCTTCTGCCATTTGATCAGCCCTCTTAATTCTCAAATCCTTAGATTCAAACAAGGATTTTCAACACTGACTTCCCCCTTGTTCTCAGGCATTTAGGGATAGACTATGCTATTGTCTAGGTTTCCAGCTTTCAGAAAAATCATGAACCTTCTTAGCCTCCATAATCATGTGAGGAAAATTCTCAGAATTGCCTCCACCTTGGTTGTGTGTGTGTATGTAGTAGGTGGGTGAGTGTGGCTCTGGGTGTGTGTTCACACCTTGGCATCTTCTTCTCAGAAGACCTGAACTAATGACCCAAACAATGACCTAGTGAACAAATCTACCACTTGGCACACTGTAAAGAAACTTGAACAAGAGTACCAGGAGACTGTGGAAGATACTTACAGCATAAACTAAACATGGAAAAATATTTGGGGCTTCATTTGTTGTTGTTTTACTTTCTTGCCTATAAAAATAAAGTTAGTCACATGTAAGTTCAATAGTGAACAAAATACCAGCTTCCTGGCTGTTTCTAATGAAATAATAAATCTTGAGCTATTACTAAAATAGCAATATTGAGCACAAAATACAAAGCATTATTGTTACTGTAGATGTGCCTTCTTTAGGAGACAGTGATTTCAAAGTGTTTATCCAACTCATGTTCAGGCTTTTAAAGAGGAAATACACAATATTTGTTTAACTGATATTTATACATTTTTATGAGATAGGTGTTCCACTTGAGGTGATGATCTTTCAAATAATGGAAAGACTATGACAGCAAACTCAAATGCTCACCAACAGGAGAATGAATAGCTGAACCATGATACAATCTCACAGAGGATTGTAAATCTGCAACCTGCAATTCTGAAATCCAAAAGTTACTCAGAGGCAATTCACAGAGTTTCGGTTAACTGATCATGTAGCCACATCTGACTATCATTGATTGATAGGTAGTTATCTATCCCACTTAGTGTGAGCATTTATTTGCCAAAATATTAGTGCTTTACAGCAGTGTGCCACCCAGAAACTACTAGTGGCATCACATTGTTTATTCTTTTCTAAAATGGGAAACATTGAGGATTTCAAAACTTTTTAAATGCCCTAGTAATGATAATGGGAATTACAGTGTGAAACTTTAATATAACATGGAGGTGAGAGGTGAATATCAAAAACATGTTGACTGAAAAAAGGAGAATGAATCTTCATACAAAGGACAGCATAGGCAACTATAAATAGTATATGATTTTAGAAGTCAGCCCAGGTCCTTGGACCCCAGGGTTGGTAGGAGGACAGCCATACCCACCTGTTGCATATTTGCCAAGACTGGGCCTAGCTGGGACCTTCCCAGCAGGCAAGAAGAACGTCAGCCCAGGTCCTTGGGCCTAGGCTGGTGGGAAGGCAGCCAGGGGCCCGCCTGGCACTTACCTCATTTTAAGTAAATAAGAGGCAGAGAATTGGGAGAGTTAGAGAAGCAGAATGGTTCATACATCATGGAAAGACACCTAAAGGAAGAAAGGTAAAATGGAGAGGATTGGGCAGATTGTTGGAGGCCAACTTGCCTCCTGGGTCCATGGTGACAGCCAGGCCTATGCTGCTGCCAAGGACCATGTCTTTGACCATGACCTACCATGGCTGATATCTATGTTGATGCCCACATACCCACAGCATCACCAAAGGCCATATGAAGCCTGGGGTCTGGGTTGCATCCTGTGGTGTCCAGGGGCCATGCTGATGTGAGAGCCATCCTGATCGGAGTGCCTGGAGCCACCACTCAGAACAAGGATGTTGACCAGACTAAGCTGCTGCCTGAGGCCATCTATGGGTCCGTGGGCCCTGGACCAGCTTCTGCTGGGGTCGGCATTGAACTCTGTGGCAGTTACCACTGGGGCCAATACAAAGGCCCAGGATCTGGGCTGGAGCCTGCGGCTTGGGTGGAGTCAAGGGGGCCACGCCACAGCAGAGGCTATACAGACATGGGTGGTCTGTGATACCATCCTGGGCCAGGGAGTCATCCGGGCCCAGGCTGCCACTAAAGTGGCTAAGGTCTGGATTGACATATGTGGCTCTGGTTGCCACCAAGTGCCATGAAGACCAGGGTCAAACCAGCCACCTGAGTCTGGGTTAGTGTCAGAGAACCAGGATGCATCCATGTCTGAGAGGCCTGTGCAGCTACTGAATGACACGGTAACATCTGGGCCTGAGCTGCAGCTGAGGGCCATGTCATGGTATGTAGCCCCATTGCAGCCAGGGTCTGGGCTGATGTCCGGTGATCCTGCTACCATCAAAGGTGGTACAGACACCCAAGATCAAGGGCCAAGTTAGTGTCTCAGAGTCGTACTGCCCCGCAGCTACTGAATGACACGGTAACATCTGGGCCTGAGCTGCAGTTGAGGGCCATGTCATGGTATGTAGCCCCATTGCAGCCAGGGTCTGCACTGATGTCCGGTGATCCTGCTACCATCAAAGGTGGTGCAGACACCCAAGATCAAGGGCCAAGTTAGTGTCTCAGAGTCGTACTGCCCCTGGGGGCATTGGTGACCATCCAGCTTCTGCTAAGGACCATATTGGGGTCCATGGTCCCCGTTCTGCACTGCCACTAATGGTCACATAGATGCCCAGGGTTAGCACACCAACCTGAGGCCTTGGTGGTGTCCAGCGACCACATGGCTGTCTGAGTGGCCATTCCTTCCACCCGGAGCCAAGATGTCATCCAGGCCTAAGCTGCTACCAGGGGCCATACCTGGGTCCATGGTCCAATAGCAGCTGGAGCCAGTGTCACCTCAGGAGGCCTTAGGAATCATGCAATAAATGAAATCAGAGGGCTGTACTGAGCCAGTCCCGACCTTTACTGCCCTGGGAAAACTGGTCTTGCCTCACTACAACAAGAGAGCTGGCTCCTGAACTCAGAAGAGAGGGCCCCAACCCTTCACCACAGGTGAGGATGAACCTACCCTGAGGGCATGCATGTGGGGGGGGCTGACTCTACCACCACACCTGAGGTAGGTGGACCCAGTGGCTCAAGCTTACCTGCCTGGATAACGCCCAGGCCCACAACTGTGCCTTGGGTTGACCCACCCTGGCATCTACCCCATCTGGGACCTGCTGGAGCTCATAAAGGTCCTGTGGAAAGATACCTGCAAGATCTCCAAGACACAGGATATCCAGAAGAACTCAATAAAGATCCAGTGAGGATAGTTTACCAAAAGCTAGAGGCCTTGAACCAGACCAATGACTCACTGCAATGGACAGATGCCAGTCAAGTTGATGGGACAAAGGGGTACACTGTACAAAACACTGAAGCCTCCAATGCCATCTAAACGAATGAAGAGGTGATGGAGAAGAGGCGATGCAGAGGCAGGAGAAAAGAAGTAGCAGAGATTGTTCTGTGACGGGTGTGGTTTCTGTTGATTTGATTTATTGGCTTTTTCTTTGTTGTTGTTGTTGTTGCTTTTGTTTGCTTGCTTGCTTGCTTGCTTTGTTTAGTTTTCTTTTGTGGGGAGATGCAATTGGGATGGGTGAGGGGGAATATGTGGGACCAGGAAGTGAACCAAATTGGGGTGCATGATGTGAAACCCCAAAAGATTCAATAAGAAAGTTTAAGAAAATAGTATATAGTTTTATACATATATTATAAAAGATAAAATATAAGAAAATTGTTCGTACACATTTTATGTATTTACATATTATAAATTTGACATTTTTTAAAATACATTCTATTTATTCTTTGAAACTTTCATATGTGTGTACAATGCTTCAATAACATCTGCCTCCTAGTCCCTCACCTCTGACTCCTTCCAAATCACCTCATCACATCTCCCTTCCAGCTCTTTTTTATGTACTCTTTTTTCTAATAATTAATAACTTTTTCTAATATCTTCAGTGCTGCTGATATGTGCATTGATATAGGGCCATCCAGTGGAGATGGGAAACCACCCAGGAAAGCATCCTTGAAGAAAACTGATGCTCCCTCTCCCAGTAGCCATCAGCTGCCACTAGCTCCTCAGCTAGGGGGAGGCTTTGTGGGGCCCTCCACTATCCATGTTGGAATTCTGACTGGCTTGACAATATCTTAAACATTAAATAATCTTCCTAAAGAAGCCCTTATTACCTCTGCAGATTTCATATGTATCCCATCTCTACCTTCTGGGGCCACAGAGAACAAGTCACTATTTTTTCTACATGCTAGAACTGTAGGTCTGATGCCCATGCCAGGCTGAGTCTGCTCCACCCATTTATTATTGTTTATTTTTTGGTGAGTGGTGGGTTTTCCTCTTTAGAATTGGAATTCAATGAGAAGTATGGTAATGGGGGGAGATAATTAGTCTTACTTACCAAGCCAGGATTAGCTGATTATGGTAGGAGGGAAAGTCAATCAGGCCAGGGTTAGAGAAGAGTGAGGCTGAAACAAGTTTATTTCAAGAAATAGGACTTTTTATCCCCTTATCAGAAACAGAGTATAATGGTGGTTGACAGGAAGAATACAATTGTAGTTGCCAAGATACAATGTTGTTTGTAAGCTATGCAGAGTACACAAGGTTAGTGTCTAAGACCAATTGCCCAGCCAAGTTTCTATATGCTTCGCTGACTTCTAGGGAATGCAGAGATACAGAGATGGCATAAATGTTCCACTGCCTGAGGGAGTGTCTCAGTTTCTTGGGAACTGAAAGGAACACAGTGCCCTGGGAGCCATGGACTCTATACCTATGACACATAGGCAGCTATGTCAGGCAACTCCATAATTCCTTGCAGGAGAAGTCACGGGTTTCCAAGATCTGATTACTATAAAATAAAGATGTTTTGATACTGCTGGGAATAAAGACTTCAGGGTCAAGGGGGACAGAAAGAAGGCTGGACATCTGTTCCCTCTTGCTTCTAAGGACCATGTCTGGGAATGGATTCCAGGAGACACTACACATAGTAAGCTCATAGACCTTGTGTCTCTGTTTCTGAGACACATTAGTCACCAAGTCTCTGGTCCACCATGTTAGGAAAGAACACTGGGGCTTTTATCAGTGAAAAAGCAGACCCAACAGGGAAGGCAGACAGACTCTGCTCCCAGTGATGGAGAAAAGTTCTGAGAATGGTCAAAAATTCCAGAGAAGGTGTCAAGATAGAAGTCTCTGATCTCTCCTCTCCTCTCCTCTCCTCTCCTCTCCTCTTCTGTTCTCTCACATGTACAAACTCTCTACTTCTCCTTCATTACTTCCTTGTTTCTATTCTGTCTTTATTTTTAGCCATATACAGCATGGCTGTCTTGCACATGTACAAACTCTCTACTTCTCCTTCATTACTTCTTTGTTTCTATTCTGTCTTTATTTTTAGCCATATACAGCATGGCTGTCTTGATCATCCAGAGGAAGCCTTGATCATATTCATGAAATCTTTGCTAGTCTGAAGCTAATACAAATCAACCTTATCCATGTTCCTAGAATAGTGAAAACATTACCACTATTCTCCTAGTTATGATTACCATTATTGTGATGGAACATCATGATCAAAAGCAAATTGGGAAGGAAAGGATTTATTTGGATTACACTTCCAGATTGTAGTCCATTATTGAAGGAAGTTAGGACAGGAATTCAAGCAAGGCAGGAACCGATGCAGAAGCCATGGGGGGGCTTCTGCTTACTGGCCTGTTCCCCAAGGCTTGCTCAGCCTGCTTTTGTAAAGAACCCAAGACCACCAGCCCAGGATGACACCACCCACAAAGGGCTGGGCCCTCCCACATCAATCTCTAATTAAGAAAATACCCTACAGGCCTTCCTACAGTCTGATCTTATGGAAGCATTTTCTCAGTTGAGACTCCCTCCTCTCAGATGACTGTAGCTTGTGTCAAACTGACATAAACTAGACAGCACAACTGTGCATTAACAATGCTCAAGACCTTTGTTATGCAAGTCACATCACTCTTGGTACAGTTATTCTCAGTACACAACTCTATGACACTATATAAGTACAGCAATTATCTCCACAAATGGTTATCTCTCTTCCTTCTTTCTTCCCTCCCTCAGAATCATTTGGGGGTCTCTGTTCATTCTACAGCTGGTCTCTGGCAAGTTAAATGACTAAGGAAATAGAATTGAGACAGAAACCTGAGTCTGTGCACACAAAAGGGCATGTCTTGTAATGATACTGCTAGGTCAAAATTATCACCATCTGGGGAAATCCTGTCCTGGGATCTGCAAGCAGGTCAACTGGCCCCCTGAAGACCAACCAAGTCTGCTGACATCGCTGTGCTAGTCCCACTCCCACACACCTGGAGAAGGAGTGCCTCACACCTGACTGCAACCACCTTGAGACCCATCAGAGTATCAGATGCTCTTGCGCCCACCAGAAGAGAACCTTGGACTCATACACTCCAGGAGAGGAAGAGATACCACCTGCACCCATGGGAAGAAGAGCTGGGAAGACGACAATATAAGAACAAATTCAACAATATGATGCCAGCAGAATCTAGGGACTCTACACCAGGAAGACCTGAACATCCAAACACAGATGAAGGAGAAGTGAATGACCTGAAAAACAATTTCATGAAGATGGTAGAGACACTAACAGAAGAAATGAGAAAATCCTTCAAAGAAATGGAAAAAAAAGACAAACCAAAAATTGCAAGAAACAATTCAAACAGTGCAAGGTTTGAAAGCCAAGTTAGACACAATAAAAAACACAATCTGAGGAAATGTTGAAATTAGAAAAGATGGGTAAATGATCAAAAATCACAGTTGCAAGCATAACCAACAGAATACAAGAGATAGAAGAGAGAATCTCAGGCATTGAAGATACACTCAGATAAATAGATTCATTGACCAAAGAAAATCTTAAGTGCAACAAATCCCTAACACAAATGTTAGGAAATATGGGACACCATGAAAAGACCAAACCTAAGAATAATAGGTATAAAAGAAAGTGAAGAAACCCAACTCCAAGGTGCAGAAAACATTCAACAAAATCATAGAAGGAAACTTTCCCAAACTAAAGAAAGACATGCCAATGAAAGTACAAGAAGCTTACAGAACACACCAAATAGAGTGAACCACAAAAATGTTGCCTTGTCAGATAATAATTAAAACAACAAACATACAGAATAAAGAAAAATATTAAGAGCAGCAAAGGAAAAAGGCCAAGTAACATATCTACGCAAACCTATCAGAATTACACATGACTTCTCCATGGAAAGTCTGAAAGCCAAAAGATCCTGGATAGATATTTTACAAACACTAAGAGACCACAGGTGCCAGCCCAGACTACTATACTCAGCAAAGCTTTCAATCGCTAAAGATGGAGAAAACAGGATATTCCATGACAAAACCAGATTTA